CTTAGTGTGAGGGATTGCTGAAGAGTCAAGGAGTCAATGCAATCAACTGGTTTACCTTAGATAGAAAACTTTGAATCAATCTGACTGGATGATCTGGTGAACTGGAAAGTGACCTGAGATGACATGATGTGAATTGGAGCTATAGAAATAAACTGAATAGAATGGAATCTTCACTGCTGACTTCACTCAGTTCATTCTGCATAATATTCCTGATCAAATGTGGACATGTTGGATAATAAAGACAGAAGATGCTTGAATCTATAAATCCTAAGAACTGAGACTTTGCTTGCATTTTGATTTTTCTTGTGTTGATTAATGTTCTTAACTTCTGAACGATTCATTTTTATAAAGGGAAACTAAAACCTTTGAGAATAAATAAAAGATTTTCTGCAATGCCTAAAAGATTGAGAAATAATGTGCAGAGTGTGACAGTAAATGTCATCCATCTAGAAAAGCAGAATCTATGTTGAAATGTTCCACCTTCAGTGTAAAATACGGGGAAATCACCAAACAGACTCCAACCTTTCTGTGTTCATAGCAACAGCCTTAGAAAAGCCAGAAAATCAGGCATTCTGAGGTTTTTTAGAGGAGCTGCTGAAACCTTTGGAACACGACCAGGAAAGGTCGTCTTCGCCTCCTGAGGGACGATTATTAAAGTTTTATGCATAATTCTTGATAAAAATTTAATCAAACACTGATAAATGCTGATGCACTCTTTAAAATGATGGGGAGAGTCGGCCATTTTGCTTTTTGGCTTGCAGGAAGTCAACAGTCACATGACCTGATAGCAAATGTAAAGGAACAGGTCTCATACAGCAGGATTTTAGGTGCCAAGTTACGCAACGAACCATAGGGTCGTTTTTATGCACCCAGGTTGGTTTTCCACATCTAAAGGGTAAAATAAAATAAAAATAATAAAAGGGTAAAAATAAAAGTAATTTAAAATAATGTATCACAGACTAAAATCAACATCTCACATAGTTTAGAAAGCCAAGGCAGAGAGATGAGTTTTTTTTAGTAGACATTGAATTTGCAAAGGAAGGTGGTTCCACAGAGAAAGCAAGATGGCCGCTAAGCTTCCCTTTAGTTTTTAACCTGTGAAGAAGCAGCTGATCAGCTGATCAGGCAGCCGGTGTAATAAGGCTAAAATTGGGCTAATGTGCTCATATTTAGTGCCAGATAAAAGACGTGCTGCAGCGTTTTGCTCTCTCTGGAGTTCAGCAGTGTTAGAGGCACTAACACCCCCCCCAATAAAGTGCGTTACAGTAATCCAGCCAGTAGAGAGAGAGAGATTTATCATAGATTTAGCCAGTTTATAGAGTATTCTGAGACTTTTGAGAAAGATTCTAGTAATGTGATTACTTGAGAGAGGCAAGTGTTTGAGTGCTGGAGATAAAGTAATACATCATCTGCGTAAAGACTCATTTTATGCTCTGTTTGCATGCCTTTTATACCTTTAACCACATTAGTTTGTCTGATTGTAGCAGCCAGAGGCTCAATGAAAATAGCAAAAAGTGAGGGGGGGGGGGCATCCCTGCCTGGTGCCCCTCTGGAGACAAAAGCTGGAATATGTTGGATTATTTGCCCTGACACAGGCTGATGGGAAGCTGTAGAAGATTTTTAATCAATTTATAAAGGAATTGCCAAAACCAAATATATGTACAGTAGCAAATAAAATTATCCAGTTTACTCTATCGAATGATTTTTCTGTATCTAAAGACAATAGGTAGGATTTTATATTTTTACTCAAACTTTAGCAGCATAACTATTGAGATAACTCAGGATAACCTGACGAGTTTGATGAGGATAAGAAAGGTAAAAACATCTCTATAGACACCTCTAACTCTTATCTTTTTTTACTAATCTGACTGTATGATCTGGTTGAATTGTCTCTGTAAAGTGTCTATTTCAGGGCAAGAAAAACAATACTCTGACTTCTTAGTGCATAAAGTACAGAACAATTCGTTGGGAAAAATATAGTATAAAGTCTTGTGTCGTTGTTTGGCAAAACCACTGTCACCGGTTTGAACAGGTACGGTGACGGTTCCGAACAGGACCGGTGACGGTTCCGAACAGGACCGGTGACGGTTCCGAACAGGACCGGAGACGGTTCCGAACAGGACCGGTGACGGTTCCTGCATTTTTCCATCCATCTGCCAGAAATATTCCGGGAGTTCAATCTTAACTTTCTAGTGACTGTTTAAAACAGTTAACTAAATATAATCTTAATAAAAACAGTTCTGTATGCAACTAAATTAATTTATAGCCTAAGCTATTGGTAAAAAAACAGTAAAAGGTGAATATTTTTGGAGGAGGAGTTAATGATTGATTGAAGACGATCAATGTTGGTGTTCTCATGCATGTTATAGTCTAAGTGTGTATTTCTATAATCCAACCCGGGCCTCAGTATATAACCGCCTAACACAATGTGACAGCGGCGCTGGTAGAAATACTTCTAACCTCCAGTATCGCCCTGTGAGCTGGAAATACACTCAGGTTTCTATTTCCATCCATGTTAGAACGTTACAGTCCTTTCATTTACTGCATTTATGGCTAACATCCACCCTGATCATTACCAGCATATCTTCAACCCTAATTTGAACCTAATCTCTCTTCACACC